AACATAGTCAAAGTGGAGATCATGATCAGTTTACGTTGTATTGAAGAAAATGCAACGTGTTTATTGCGTGATTGGGTAAAATACATTTGAACTGTTATCATCGCGAATCATGTAACAAACTCTTCAATCAAGACATCTTTTTCATTTTAAAAATTGCTAATTACCTCTCTCAAAGACTATCATGCAGTTTTCAACTGAAATCCATGCCAACACATCGTGCTAAGACATCGTTTTGCTCCCGTAATGTAATGTTTATGATCACTACAATTCGGAAAACTTCGGGTTCTACCGGCAATACCATACGGCAGTGTGATACACAAATTACACAGTCTAGTTTTGTTATTGTATATCGATGGCTCGGTTCACCCATAGACCTTAGAATGATAAGGTCTATGGTTCACCTAATCCGCAAATAAGCTAGATTGCGATTACATAATGAGTAAATATACTTGAGTAGGATGACCCACCCGCTGTTTGTGGAAGAGTCGACTGAGATAACATGTTTGGCATAAACAAAGCATTTGAATTGATAAAGTGAATATGACGTCATGGCGAACCAGTGCAAATGGATATTCGCATTCGATTTTCGCCGATTTCACGCTCCATGCAGTTTATTTTAGTAAAAAAAAACATGACAAATGGTTGGCAATCCTAATACCAATTAAATATCACAATTTCACAAAAGAAAACAGACAAAAATGTGTTGTTTTACGACAAACGTCCAGGTAAATTTGTGTTTGTTGTTTTCTCAGTTCACACATGTGCACTATTTTGAACTTTTCAAAAAACGTTGGCGGTACTTTCTCACACAGTACGCGCTTGAAATTAACACCAAGTGTTGTCAGGATATTAAACAATAAAAGTGTCGACGGGAGAGTTTTGCTACCATTTTTCCTGTTTTATGACCCCTGAGCTTCAGAAATGACTTATTTTTTTTAAAGAAATAATTATTATTTATGATAATTATTAGAAAAATAATCACATACAAAGTTCATCGACACTTTATAAAAAAAAACAAATATAGTATTTTAGTGATTTTGTATTATTTAGTAATTAGGAGATTGTATTTTGTTATTTAGTATATTGTTTTTATATTTGTTTTGTTTTGTACTTTGTGACCATGTTATTTCCCTCCGGGGATTGTGCAAGAGTCAATAAGTAAATAAAACAAGCAGCCTGTCGGCTGAGATAGCTCCGCTGTTAGCAATGCACATGGCAATTAAAGAACAGAAGATATCATTAGAAAATGAACAAATCTGAGAGAGGTCCACATGTAGTACCTATATGTATAATATATCAAAGCAATTGGATTTGCGGTTTTCAACAA